TTCAAGGTTTTGATGTCACGTCGTCGATAAGGATGGTGCCCTCCGTTGGGTCTAGATGCGGGAGATCAGTTCAAGATCGTACTCTTTCCAGAGCCGTTCACACCAACTGACCTGCTATTGTGATTAGAGAGCACCACAAAGTAGATAAACTTACGCATAGCTGACCAGCCTCGATCTTGAACGATACATTCCGTAGAGCACACCTGTCTCGACCAGGGTACTGGAACGAAACATTCCTGACATATATGCATTAGAATAATTCTATGAAGTAACGAATACCAATCAACTTGAATTCAACAGAAATGCCATTTGCAAGAGATTGTTGGTTCTCGGGGAACGGTTCCGTACCATCCACAACCTGATTTCGTATGTTCTCTATCTCATAAGATCGCGTATTTGGGCCAGTTGGTCGTAAGAATGGAAAACATGCTGGATATCGAGAAATATGGATCAAAGGCTTGCTTGATCCATATGAGTGATGCCAAGGAGACGGAGTGGTCGTTGGATTTTTCACTACGCGCAAGGAGAAGACAATCTAATTGACTTAGTCGGCTTTGTCAACTCTGAGGTCAACTCCACGTACCTGAGGTAACACATGCATTGTTTCTCGGATGATGAACGTGATGCTCAGACAGTCCTTGAAAGAACGAAATCGTTTCAGTTCTGGGAATTCAACCGCATCGTGACCGATGCGCTGAGATGCTTCGCGAAATCCTGGTCTCGATCAAGTCAGCATAAGATTGTCCGGTAAGGCGCGTCGACATACGTGCACTAATGTGTTCGCTGAAGTTGCCTGCGACAAACTCTCGACGGTGTGAGGACCCAGTAATGAGTTCCTTCAGACCTTGCATGCAAATCAAATTCTCGTTGGTCGTTGTCGCGGCCCAAACTACATATCTGGCTTAAACAAAGGCTTAGAAGCATCAGCTGTTGACATACCCAAGGATCCGACCACTGCTTTTCCCGTGCTGTCCCAGGGCAATAAATATTGCAAAAAACTGAGAACCACGAGATAGACCATCCTGTTGTTCCACATGACTGTACTCAGAACCAAAAGGCAAGAGAGCAGACGAATAAGTATTATTGCGATGTGCGTCAACATCTCAATAGTGTTCCAACCGACGAAGTATGCCAAAAGCTAAGCCAATGTTGAGGTCGCTCACTGCGTGCGAGCGATAAAGAGTTTGAAATGCGAGCAGGTCGAGGCGGACAGTTGAGAGAAGCATGCGTTCATTGTAGAATTGTTTGATGTACAACCTCAGACGAGGCATCATGGAGTCTCGGGAGTATTTGAGAAGCGCATAGCAACTGCGCATATGATATGTGCTGCCGAAAAATGTACGAGCACCGTTGTGTCCACAGTACGTGCCTCCATTACGCTCTCTACCTAGTGCGAAATAAGTTGGCAGTGGTAGATGAAAGTGAAAGGGACATTACAAGGCGGAGCAATTGTCCGGAGTACCTGCGCAACGACGTTATGGATGTATAGGGAAGTCGCATCGTTATGACGTACCACAGAGAAACAGCGGGTATGAGGGAAGCTAAAACCTCTACTACAAGGTATGCGGGGAGAAGGATGGAGCATCGTTTGATGTGAGTACATCCTTGAACATGCGAACTAGAAGTGGAACACTGTAGATTATCGGGGTATATGTCTGCAATATCGATGAGACTCGGTTGCGTGCCAGTGTTTGGCGTGCCTCGTAGAGATCCCATATACCGATGCGGGTATGCTTGAAACGACGAGTGTCCTTGTGGTCGAATTCTCCGTGTGTGCTTTCATTGGTCTCTCTCTCTCGATGGTGAAAGAATACAAAGTGGGCTAAAGTCGGAGAACATCCGTAAGCCAACTTAAAGAGAGGCGTCCTCAGGTACACCGCGAAATCCAGTTAGATCGTACGTCCTCAAAGCTTGGGAAAGCCAACAATATTAATATGGTCAAAGCTGGCGAATGTTGGCTGGTTTATCATGCCCGCAGCGTGTATGCATAATAAACCGCATAGGTTAGTAGCTTGGAGCAGCCGCCCCAGAGATTGGTTGATAAGAACTATATAAGGAACATGTGGACTTTCTGATCAAACGTTAACTTGAACGTGGACGTATACCAGGACCTAGAATAGGTACTGGTTTACCAATTTTAATTGTCTGTCCGCACGATCATCCCAGGCCTGCAGGGTCCGGTCTTAGTCATCATTCGATTCTCTCCTTCTCTCTTTGGTTTTGACCATCAGCTTCTGCTGTCCGTGATATAATATTTTCAACACATAACTTCGTTTTTTTTGCATGGCATCTAGTTCGTCAATTACAAACCTTTCTCTCTCTGTTCCTCCTGCTTCGCTTGTTATCTCCGACGAAGAGTTTCCCAACGACGGGAATTCTATAGTGACATCATGCGTTTTACGCAAGTACTTTGGGTTTTTTGAGGTTTCTCGAGAGCGCCTATTGGCGTTGAGACAGTATCCTGCGGGTGTTTTGTTGCCTGTTGCCATAGCGAGTCTGCAGCAACTCATGGAGAATTGTCTGATGTTTACTAGGGAGCAATATGCTTTGATTGCGTCTGCACATGCGGTCTGTGTCATGTCCATACATCGTAAGGATCATATCCGTGACATGTTGCGTGTGCATGTATGTAACGTGGATTGTATATCTAATCTACCTGTTTTTAAGCTCTTGAAAGTTCTGCGACGAGATTTTTCGAATCAGATTCTTCCTGATCCTTTTTGTAACAGTTCTCATCAGGCAAATGCCATTGCGCATCGTGAGAGTCGTGCAGTGCTTAGTGAAACACAACGCTCGGATATTTTGGCTCGAGATGCGGATTCCCATTATGAAAGTTGTCGAGTACATGCTCAAACTGTTTCAGATAGTATTGAATTTCCATCGATTCGTACCTTTGAAGAGAAACGGGATATCATTATGCAGTTTCAAGCTGAAATGTCACCTGAAGCACTGAAACAAGGAGCATGTGCTGTTTGTGCGCATAATCTCCTCATCAGTGATCTTCATTGTGTGGATATTCATAAGGTGCCACTCCATTTGTTGCACAATGATTGTTTACCAGAACATATGCTGCCGCACAGTTACGATTTGGAGATGTACAGTCGTGCCATCTTGTACCCTAAAGGTATGAAATCTTGTTGGTCTTTCTCTGACTTATTTATGTGTTGTGTGTGTTTGTGCCGCATTGACAAATAAGCCGCCAAGGCAACCAGTCAACTCATTAGCTAATTTTCAGTACTATGCTCATGATAGATTACCAGATAATATTCGACATGCATTCACTCATGCCTCCGTGTATGATTTGATGCTTATTTCTCGTGCTCAGGCGTCCCAGATCACTCATTTTTATAGCTACAAGTCGTCGACAGCACAATATCGTCCAGTGGAACAGATCTCTCAGCAGTACAATAAAGGAAATGTGGCCGTCAGACCCCAAGATTCTGTCAAGCTTTATTCTATGTTGCCTCCCAGTTACGATGAGCTTCGAGATGCCATGTGCGTCGTCTTTAGTGGTCAGAAAGAATGGCCTTCGTGTGACACGGTGAAACAATTGCGGCCCATACTGGTCACCAAGAGTAGAGTGCGTATACTCATCGAATTTTTAATCACTAATAATCCATGGTATCAGAAAAGTGGTGTTGCCTACAGTCCACGAAATATGGACTCACTGTTCGACAATGTCGATGCGGATGTTGATTGCAGTGTTCCCGCAACATTGGAAGTGTGTCATTTGCCGCGAGGAGGTGACACACCCGACAGCACATGTTTTGAAGGCCTCGAGTCGTGAGAAGTTGATGTGCCAGAAGATGATGCATCAGAAGACATTGTTATGGAAGCAGTGGGATTTACTCAAGGAGACCACTCATCACAGAGCAGAGAAAAGATGAAACTGCATGCATTAGCTTATGTCTTAGATCGGAAGTGTTTCCTTCTTTCTCGGACTGGTGTTAGCTTCATTGCGGATAATGATCCTGGATTAATGTCTTACCTATTCCCTCATATTGATCCTTGGGATATTGGAGGTTTTTTTTCATTGTGGACGTACATCGAAGCAACATCTTTCGATGGAAGCTCAGGTTCGCAACTTATTGCTTCAAGATGATTCTCCGTTTCGAAAGGACACTAATTTTGCCTTTATATGTTGGAATATGATTCAAAAAAGAGAAATCAGTAGCAATACTACCTTTCGAGTCTGCGCATCTCAGCAACAGAGTTTGGTAAGAGAATTAAAAGACGTTGGTCCATCTTTGACTGCATTGGCTGAGAAATGGACGTGTTCAATCCATGAAAAACCATCTACCACTCAAGAGAAAAAAGCTGCGTGCATTCTGCGTCGTTTGCAATCGTCAACAAAAAATCTGAGAGGAAGTATTGGATATAAGTTGTGTCGTCGTAATGAAATTCGTGCTCTTATGAAAAAATATTGTACACCGGCGTTATTCATGATGCTCAATCCACATGATTTAACTAGTCATATAGTTTCTTCAATCGTAGATATAGAATTGGATCAATGGATGACCATGTCGTCGTTTGAGCGAGCTAAGGTGATTGCTGTTCGGCCAGATGCTGCGGCACTCGCATTCGACTTACAAATTCAGGCATTCCTAAATATCATTTTGAAATATAAGCATGGACCAGGCATTTTTGGTCACTGTCAAGCGTATTACGGTATGGTCGAAGCGCAAGGAAGAGGGACACTGCATTGTCATATGTTATTATGGATCGCTGGCAATCCGAGTCCCCAGGCATTGCGTGATCGACTTGCATCTGATGCGAGCTTCAAATCTAATATGTTTCAGTGGCTAGAGAATATTATTAGCTGCAAGCTTCCATATGATAAGGGTCCTGTACCTGAAACATCGCCCAATGATGCATGCAAACCTGTGCGCACACACGAACTCGACCCAAGGCTAGAACGATCCCCACAAGTAGCTGAAATGGATGCAAAATCCTTTGAATATGAATTCAAAAAGTTTTTGAGTCGTCTTGCTGTAGAATGTAACTGGCACATTCATAGCGAGACATGTTATAAGCATCTAAAAAATGGACAAAAAAAAGGAGATTCAACTTGTCGAATGCGTCTCGATGGCTCTGTGCAGGACGTCACGACTATTGACATTGAAACTGGCTCTATTGAGTTGCGACGATGGAGAGGTCGAGTGAATAATTGTTTCTCCTACAGTGCAATACAGACACTCAGTTCATTGGATCAGGTGAAGCTGTGAAGGCAGCAGTATTTTATATCACTGAATATATCACTAAAGGAGACTTGCCTTTGCATGTCGCTTTACAAGCATTGGAGTATGCACCTAAGATGCACAATGCTAAATATATTACAGATCCACAAGTAGATCCACAGAAAAAGGATAGTAATCTACTTACCAAGTCTGTAAATGCGATGATGGGTTGGCAGGAAATGTCTCATCAACAGGTAATTGAGTTATTTAATAGGTGGAGGCGACTACTATACCAGTCATACTTTTGAGACTATCAAATGGTATGAATTTGTACATGCAGCAGATAGAGTTGATCTTGAATGTACTGACTCTGAGGATTGTGACGGAAGGTCCAATCAAGAAGCAGATGCGCCATTGATGAGAAGAACAAGTGACTATGAGTGTCTCATCAGATAAAGTTGAATTTTCTAGTGATATATCAGATTATACGTTGCACCCTATGACGAAGGAATTCACTGACCTTTGTCTTTGGCAATTTGTTGAGAATACCATCAAAGTCAAAGGAAATATATCGGTGGGCCACAGAGGAGTGATGATGAGCACAATGGGGATATCATTGACAGTGCTAAACCAGTGTGCAAACGAGGTCGTAAGGCTTTGCCGCGTGCTCAATTCCTTACACAACATAGTCAGTTTGACACACATATATTATGTTTACGGGAGAAACAAGTTGTACCTGTGTTGTTAGGCGAGGCGCTGCCTCGTCCAGATCAATCAGAAGAAGAATATGAGAAGTATTGTTGTGCCATGATGTTACTCTTCAGCCATGGAGGGATTTACGCATGCTGAAGGATAATCATGCGTCTTGGAAAGATGCATTTAATAACACGACCTTTGAACCTGCTATATGGTCAATTATTCGCAACATGAACGTCGAGAATGAATGTAAGGAAGCATGAGATACACACGCTGCTGCTGTCAAAGAAGATCATCGAAAACCACATATGTTCGGCAACGATGTGACTGCAGATGTGGAGACTCAATTGGATATCGATGCCCTCCACGACGTTCTATTGTCAAATCCAGCTCTTGATGGTGATGAATTTGATGATGATGTTACAGGCTCGCAGTTGAATGGTGAGATAGGCGATAAAAACTCGGGAGACATAAGCCATTGTCTGCGTGCTGCCAAAGATGGCAGATTATTTAATGTATCAATCGATGATTCAGGCGAACAATACAACACATACAGGTAATAGCACAGAAATCGCCAGTCAAGCCAATCAAGGTCGTCTTCAAGAATACGCATCCATCATGAAAGCTGCAAAAAAACGTAAGAGACCAATTGACGTCGGCTCCAACGACGCAGAATCCAAGCGAGCACGTTTAGATCAGAAAATGGCACTCCTCGTATTACTTTGGAGCAATGGAAGAAAATGCGGATTATACTTCTGTATATATAACCCGAACTTACTCAAGGCAGATGAGAAGAGATTCTGTCAGATCATTGCAGAATTTAAATTATCAGATAATATTGAACAAGAGATGAGTCTAAGAATCATCAGCGAACATTTCATTCGTGGAGAGGTCAAGCAATTACTGATGTTTATAACTGGCATTGGAGGCTCAGGCAAAAGCCACGTCATTCGGGCTCCATTGAAATGTTTTGAAGATGCGGAGCACCTGAAAAATTAACTAAGCACACCTACAGGAAGTGCAGCAGTTTTGATAGATGGATATACCATTCATGCTCTGACATTTCTGCCGAAGAGAGAAGCTCCTATCAAACAACAAGATTTAGAGTTTATATGGAAAACAGTCGAGTACTTAATCTTAGATGAAGCCTCATTGATGTCTGCCGAAACTATTGAGTCAGGTTTCACATCGAATATGTCAGGCAAAATCTTGGGATGAGTCTGCAAGAAACAAACCTTTCGGTGGTGTCAATCTCATCTTTGCCGGCGATTTAGGCCAGCTGCGTCCTCCGAAATCAAACACCCTATATAGTTATAAATTGGTTAAGCATTGTCTCCTGCCACAGTCAGTACCTTGAAGGCCAGACAGCATTACATGGCGCTTTTCTTTGGCGACAAGTGGATACTGTCGTAGAGTTGACACAGAATTGGCGAGCTAAAGACGATGCAGAATTTATTAACCTGTTAAATTGGATTCGATTAGGACAAGCACGCAGAAATGCCCTACCAGGAAATCATCTGAGTGATTATGAATTAAAAGACAAGAATTCTCAGCACAATCAAAGTGCGCTCGCTTGAGGAATTCAACAGTTTTAAAGACGCACCGATTGTTGTCACTCAGAAAAATTTGAGAGACGATAAACACATCCAAAGGTCGCGCGTTTGCTGCCGAAATTAGCCAGGATTTTCACGTATACTGCGCCTGAGATAAAATGGAGGAAAGGCTGTCACATTGGATCAACAACAGAGATT